GCAATTCCTTCAATGGCTTATTTTTCCTTTCTGCAGTTATGCATCTGTAAGATTTAGGTATTATATACCAGGACATTTCCTTCCTACTTGTCTCCAGTCTTGATTCCAGGATTGGCACTAGGAGAGTGGAGAACTGGATAATGGATATTCAGAGGGTCTGCTCTCAAATTAACCTGAATTCATTGCTTTTGCAACTGTTGTTGCTAGGCCTGTAGCCAGAAAAAAAAATCAGGAGGGCTTGAAACTTTTTTCACCAATATGACCTTTCAGTTCAGCGTATCCTGATCTGGCACAAGATCTCAACAAGGACCTGAAATTACTATCATTATGCAAAGGTTCTTCACAAGTAACAAACAGGTCCTGAATCATTGCTCCCTCTTAAAGCCGGTTCTTGTAGGGCACAAAGGACAATAGTTTCCACAATTGGTAGAAGTTTTTTTTGCTATTTTCTTCTGCTTTCTTCTTATTTCCTTTATCATGATGATCGGTTCCATCAAGATGTTTTCCACTATGAATTATCAAGACGTTTCCACCCAAGAACAAGTTATTCTGATGGTACTCTGTTTTTGGTGTCTATTGAAGCCTTCTATTGCATTTTTCCATGACACAATGGTTTAGCAACCAATGCACCAAGCTTCGCTTCTGATGACCACCTTTTTCACAACTTCTCCTCCAAACACCATACAATAGTTACAGAGTGGACCTTGTACATGAAATGAGTAGGTTAACCAAGGAAATCTGTTGAACCATTTGGATTGAAAGCTTAGATGCCTCTTCTTATCAACAGGAAATACATATCCTGGAGTTCATGGATTTGGCACTAATTGAGTTTTCACTTGGTCGTCAGAAACAGTCTTTTCGGCCAGTGATTCTGGCCATGAAAGCCTTCGACAACACAGAAACAGTCTTGTTCATATAAAGTCCAAGGTCTAACAATGACACAGCTTCTTCTCTTTTCTCCTGCCCCATGGTTTCTTTGGCAGGGCTTGGATTAGATGAACCAGTCAGTGGTAGACACACAACAATTTCCAAAGTTTTCACCTGCAATCCAGGTCAAATCCCCTTTGCCTGATGGCTGTGGGTAGACCAGCTTGGTCTCTTCCATTATGTCAGCTATTGCTGCTATTGCAATGTAATTGGTAAAATGTAGGTAATGATAGTGTAAATGATCAAACTTTGGTTGAGATTTATTTATTTATTATCATGTCAAGAGTGAACCAAGGGTACAGTTCTACTGTATTTTTAAAAAATCAAACAAAAACCACAAAGTTTGAAAACTTGGCATTATATTAAATGTCCTTTGACCAGTAGCTGGCCACTTGGAGTGCCTCTGGTGTCACTGTGAGAAGGTCCTCCATTGTGCATATGGCAAGGCTCAGACTGCATTGTAATAGATGGTCTGTTGTTTGCTCTTCTCCACACTCGCATCTCGTGGACTCCACTTTGTACCCCCATTTCTTAATGTTGGCTATCCATCTCGTGGTGCCAGAGCGCAGTTTGTTCAGTGCCTCCCAAGTGACCCAGTTTTCTGTGTGCCCAGGAGGAAGTCTTTCATTTGGTTTCAGCCATAGATTGAGGTTCTGGGTATTAACCTGCCACTTTTGGACTCTCGCTTGCTGAGGTGTTCTAGCGAGTGTCTCTGTAGATCTTAGAAAACTATAGTTAATTTAAGTCATTGGCGTGCTGGCTGATATCCTAATAGGGGATGGGCCAGAGATCTCACTACCATGGTCCTTTCACTATTGGTTGCTACTTCCTGGCGGATGTCAGGTGGTGCAATACCAGCTAAACAGTGTAATTTATCCAGTGTTATACTGCACAGACACCCTGTGATAATGCAGCATCATTAAGAGCCAAATCCACTGTTTTAGTGTGGTGAGATGTGTTCCACACTAAGCATGCATACTCAGCAGCAGCAGAATAGCAAAGCACAAGGGCACATGTCTTCACTTCATTTGCGATCCCGTGGTTGTGCCAGTCAGCTTTTGTATGATAGCTTGCAGTTCTGGAGGGACTCTAATTTTTGCTTCTCATAGACATGGCATGGGGATTTGGTTAATCAGTTAAAATTCATGAGTAAACCAGGGTTTTTCTTAACCTGAAAAAGATCAGGGTGGTTTGAACCTTTAAACCGCCTTCTTGGCTATGGCCTTGGTTGCCTCTCATTCATAAGTCTTGTTCTACTGGTTCTATTCAGAAGGAAAAGAAAAATAAACCAAAGGCATTATTTCTCCTTGTCTCCTCCTTTTTATTTTCCCCTCTTCCAACTCCACCCCTCTCCTCATTACTGTTCAGGTGCATGGGGCTGATGTGTTAGGGCCAGTTCTGCCATTGCACAGAATAAGGCAATATCTCCAAGTACCAGAATTAGGGGGTGCAATGATAGATCCCAGCCATACTTCCTGAGCCCCCTTTTTCTTGGAAGACAACACTGTGTGTGTATCCCAGTCTGTTCCACAGCAATTAAACAGGCCTGTAGTCATTGGTATGGTGGGCTGGTAATATTCCATTATCAAATTGAAGTACTTTTTCACTTGTCAGTTTCTGAATGGAGGAGGAGGAGTAGGGACCATGTTCTTTTGCTTGGGGTCAGTGAGTAAGCCATGGCAGCAAACACTAGGGGTCAGAAAGACATAGGCTTGGGCAGAAATCTGCTCTTGTCAGTCCCTGACAGCTGTCCCTGCTTGCATTTAAAGTGGTTCAGAATTATATGTGAAATCAACACCAAAAATTACGTATAGACAAAGAGTGCAATTTCCCCCTTTATTTTGAACAATTTAGCATTTCAAGAAAGCTTGTCAAAATATTATATTTCAGGAGTAAAATAACTGCAGAAATGATCCCAAGCAAATCTGCTTCAATCCTCTCTATGGATACAGGAAATCTATAGTTAAAGCATTGTAAACAGATGACCAAATGCCTCCATTTAATGAAAGAGTGGCCAGCATTCTTTATGTCAGTTTATTCCTCTGTCTTCAGCATCTGAATGTTTATACTGTATCCCTCCCCCCCCCAAAAAAAATCAATCCATTGGTTCATACCCTATCCTATGGGGCATTAGTAAACAAACTTACTCCATCTTCTCTTTGGTGACGTTGTCTCCAAAGCCCAAGGCCAAGAGCCCCAAAGCCAAGCCCAAGCCGGCCAAGAGCCCCAAGGCCAAGAAGACCAAGGCGGCGCCCAAGAGGAAGTGAGCCCAAGAAGGACCTCAGACCACCGCCGCTCCCACTTGAATTTATTACTTTTTGGATTCCCAGATATATATATTTTTAATCACTGGCTACAATGAACATGAAGTCCAAATTCTTTATCACTGACTTCCGGGACCTAATATCCAAATATCTGAAGGAACAAAGATTGAAAACTACTGATCTGGAAGTATTAGGGTACTGGAGAAAGAAATTTGTTACAGGTTGCTCTTAGAAGGCATCAAGATGATGTGTTAATTTGTACACAAAACATGTATATTTTCACATGATGTTTTAATGACTGCCAATAAAGACTGCCTGGATTTGACATAAGATTACAAGATTTGTAACATCTCACAAGTCCTAAAGAAATTTATCTAACCCACATTTGTTTTGTTTCAAGAAAATGGATACAGTTTTATTGCTTCATTTTTTTGAACATAGTTCAGCTCACTTAACTCTTCCTCATTTGAGCAGCCTCATATCATGTTATAGAAGAAAGTAGCATTTTTCTTAGCTCACCAAAGGTATGTGTCATAGATTCCTAGTGGGAATGATGAACAGTTTGGTTTATTTCTTCCTAGCCACAGGTTAGGATGGGAGGTATTCTCTTTCATGGTAGACACAATTTACTTCTAGTCTTCAGGTAAGAGCTCTCAATAATGTATTTTCAACCTTTATTCCCACTGACATGTTGAAAATTCTCTTCTCTTTATGCCTTGATGCTCCATATTGGTGACAACGCACATTATCCCTACAATATGCCATGGATAAATCATTGTACCCATACTTACTGTTATTTCAGGTTTTTTTTTCTTAAAACAAAAAAACACCAGCCCCCCCCCCCCCCAAAAAAATGCAACAAGTTAGTGAGCAACATAAAACATGGACCTAGAATTGCCACTGAGAAAGCTAACAAAATGTGGTTAACCAACCCTAATACTCTGTGTGTGTGTGTGTGTGTGTGTGTGTTTGTGGTTTAAGATCGTGTTAATTGTATAGAACTCATACATATTCTTTAATAGCTGGATTATATAATGATGACATTATTGTAATTTATAGCTCTGGGATGATAACAGAGTGGAAATGATGCTCATGGTGGACTACAGCATGACAGTTACACTGGGATATTCAGAAAACTAGCAGTTTAGCAAAATTAGTGTAGCCCTTTTCCTATCAGCCCTCCGACACACCTCCCTTCTGCCAACTGAAGTATGCAGTGGAATTTTACATGACATTTTCCATATGCAAACTGTCACTACATGACTCAACCACTAGCTACAGTAAAAATCCCATAGTCTTCAAAGGGAGACACCTTCAAAACAAAGAGACCTGAGGATTGTACTCTACAGTTGCTCTTTTCTGCTGTGCAACTGACAAACTGGGAAATGTAAAGAGTTATTGTTATGGTCATTATTGCTAATTTGCCAGGCTGCCATTCTCCAGTCCATGAAAACCCTTACAATAACAGTGGACAGATCCCACACCCTCTTTGCTTGTTTTTAACCATGCCTCCAAAACAAAGGGAATTGTCCACAGCTGGTGCCTTTATTTCATGCTGGATTTCACCTGCTAAATTGCAGCAGTTCATTCTAGCCTGTGAGACTTTAGCTGTCTGCAAAAATCAAGGCATACAGTAAAAACACTGGTGAAGTTTCTGATTAAGCAGTGCTTGTCTGTTTCCTGCCTCTTTGTATCATCTGCATCTTCTTGCTAATAACTTATTGAGTGCCTCAGATTTTCTGGTGTGTTGACCTTACCCATGATTCAGGTTGCCAGAGGCACAATAATACAGTGTTGCAGCAAAAGCTTTGGCCCAGCTCTTTCCCTGTCCTAGTTTCCTTTATGTGGATGTTTTGTAGTATTCCAGACTCCTCCACAAATCCAGATCTGGTTTTGGGGCCTGCCTTCCTCTCTCTCTTTCTCTCTTTTTTCATCTCTGCCTTTTCTCCTTTTCTCCCTCTCTCCCTCTTTCCCCCTCCCATCCTCTCTGCGCTGTACTCTCAGGGGGGATCTCAGCACTGCTGCAGCATCACTAACAACCTCAATCCAGGAGGCTGGGAAAGAGAGGCGGAAGAGGGAGAAAAACCTGAATGAATGGGCATCGCATCAGTGATCATTATGGGGAGGACGCTGGCTGCTGCATAGAAAAGAGGATTTTTTTTCTTTGAAGACGGAAAAAAGAGGGGAGGGAAGCAGACAAGAGAAAGAAGACAGAACTGAGACAACAGTTAAGACAAAGCTTTCCCACAAAGCTTTCTTTGGACAAGTACTATACTGCAAGGGAGAGCACCTGCTGGTGGAACGTCTGCTGTCCCTTCCTTTGACATCCAGGTGAGTCCCGCCTGATCTTTATTTTTCTTATGCCAAAATCAGTGGGGTGGGGGGAGAAGAAGATGCTGTCTGTGGGGCTTTAATTGCCATTTGACAGGGTTTTCTTTTCCATAAGAAAATGGGAAATGTGTTGTTATGACTGTCATGCTGTCTTTTTTTCAAATGAGGTGGAGATGGTGGGTGGGGTGGGTGAGAAATCTGTTGTGGTTATGAGGGGAACTGTTTTGTTCTCTTGCCTCTTTTCATTCAACAGCCCTAAGATGCTGGTGATTCATGCAGAGAACTTAGTGCATTGTTTTGTTTCTGTCAGTCTTCAGCCCTGACCCATCTTGATCATTCCCTCTGTGCCTCTTTGGTTCTTAAGACCTTGAGACATACCTGCTGTAACCACGGGTACCTGCCTCTTGTTAGCCTGTATTAGATGAAGGCAAGAGAAATAATGAAGATCCCCATCAACCTGGAGGGGAAATCTCGACAAAATAGTGTTGAGGAGAAGGAAGCCATTTAATATTATTGTACTTGGCAGCAGGGTTTGAGTGTTCTGTGTTGCTATTGATTTTATGCGTCACAAGGCAGATACCATGGTGATGGGCAGAAGAGCCATGGGTGGGTGGTTCGTATTCAGGCCCACTAAGTTGGTCCCAAACAACATCCCCAAAGGACTGGGAGAGACAATCATGGGCAAGTGATTCTATTCTATTGTTGAGAAATAGTCTGAAAAGTGTTGGCTTTATTTTGATATCCTAAGGTATGGCATGGTGTGATTGCTGTCAGAGCAAAACCACTACAAGTATTTATTGTAGAGATATGTTTTCCACCTTTTTTGGACAATACCATTGTAAAAAGCAACAAAACATGACCATGATGAATGAAGGCACAGAGTACAATTACTTAATATTAATATCCTGGAAACTGGAAAACATATTAATAGATAACCAATCTGCCTCCAGAAGCTTTATTATTCTGGATTGGGAGCTTGGGATATACCTAATCAGTGGTGAAAATTTAGGAGATTTGCCAACTCACATGGCCAAGACTTATGTTCTAAGCTTTGTACCTGTTTCCTTAGTCTGCAGTCTCCCTGCACCTCACTTCAGGAAGACTCAGCACTCACAGAGCTAAGCACTGATGTATGTGATCAGCATATATGTATCTGTGCATTTATATCTACATCTGGATATATGTATGCATATACCCATAAGGGAGCACATATGTGTGCAACTGTGATAATGGAAGACTTGACATTTGTGACATTAATATTCCTTTGTCGAGGTGGGTAGGTGGGTGATGATTAATTGAGCATGGATTGGCTCACCCGTGTGTAGAAATGTGATGAGCAACAGTGTACATGGTGTGTGAGTGTATGTGCGTGACCATTCAAAGCAGTCCTGTGGCAATGAAAGAATGGGCATGTATGCATATACCACCTGGACACAATAAACCTTTTCCAGCCAATAGCAATTCCCCACCTTGTAGCAGTAAAGTGGGAGGGTAAAAAAAGGATTGTGGAATTTGGTTCATTAAGATGTTTCTCTTCAACCTGCATGCCTGTGGGAAAGCAGAAGGAAAAAGAGCTTTCCCAAAATAAGAGGGTGGGAAAGTTCTAATGTTGCCCTCTTCCCCATTTCAGGTGTTCATATAATGTTGTGAATATGTAGACAATGGAGCTGGAAGGAATGAAAAAGTGACATGTTTCCGTTCTGGCAAGAGTCATTCCAGTAATAGAGATGTGGGATGATTCTGGAAATCTTTCAGTCTTTATTAGATCTTCTTGGATATGGAACAGTATGGGATGGAGGTGTGAACTTCAATAGAAGTTTGAAGTAGCTAAAGACAGGATAGGAAGCTTGATGGCCTTTGTATGATTCGAACTACAACTCCCATTATTCCTAAGCATTGTCCAGTGTCCACACCATTGGGGTCAGAGAGTTGTAATCCAAGACATGGGAGCACCAACAGACTAGAGGAATTAGGCCCCTTTGAAGGTCAACAGAAAGAGGGGAGCAGAAATCTGAGAGCCAATAAGCTATACAATGTCTTATCTATTTTCACTTTTCATAGATGTCTCCAATGCCTGCCCCCTCCCCACCAATCCAACTTTGGAGTCATATTATTTGCCAGCTTCAATACAAATCAGAGACTACATTCCGTATTAGAAAATATGATTTTTGTACTTGTTACAAGTATGTCCCATTAAGGTTGCATGCTAAAACAATGAACAAGTGCAATGCAGACCACTCAGCTCTTTCCCATTTTTCTTATACTCCTGGTTATAACTTGTACTGGATTTTCTTTCAAAATCTGCAGCTGCAGAAAACATGTGTCATGCCATAAGGAGATCAGCAGGGGGTGCTGTGCGGTAAAGTGCTGTTCACATCAAAAAGCTATTGGAGGAGTTTTGGTGGCTGAGGCATATGTAGTCCCTTGCTGATGAAGACTGTGAATATAAATCTATATTTATATCTATCCTCAGTAACTTTGGCCCCTTGGGCACACAGATCCTATACAAGTTTGTGTAAAAGCCATCAGCCAGTGTATCACCTATCATTGTTTGCAAAAGAGCAAAACTTGTTTGATATAGAGAAGTGTCGGGTTTGTAAGAAATGTATATCTAAAATGATAAATATATCACATATGACCATTGTTTTGCAGGCCAGAAGCAGGTTCAGGGAGCTCCCCAGCAGAGCCTTATTAATAACATCATTTCTGGTAACATCATAACAGGGTGCCCAGCCATGTGATCAGCAGATGTGGGCTGTCAGCAAGGCTCTCCTGGGGAGCTGCGTCGGGATGCAGAAACACCAATTTACCTTTTTAATGTGTGGACACAGGATTTTTCTGGATCTGACCTGATTTTCTGTCCACATGTCGAAAACACTAGGGTCACTAGAGTTTTATTGTTCTCAATCAGGGGTCCCCAAACTAAGGCTTGTGTGCTTTTACCAGGCCCCTGCGCTAAATCTGACTTAGGGTTACTAAGTCTGGAACAACCTGAAGACACACAACAACAATCATAATTAACTTGACTATCTCATCAGCCAAAAGCAGGCCCACATTTCCCACTGAAGTACTGTTATGTTTCTGTTGGTTAAATTTGTTCTTCATTTTAAATACAGTATTGTTGTTGGTTTTGCACTACAAATAAGATATAGTCAGTGTGCATAGGAATTCATTCATTTTTTTTTCAAACTGAAGTCCAGTCCCATCCACCCCCAACAATGAAGGACCATGAACCAGTCCTCAGCTTAAAAAGTTTGAGGACCCCATTTCTAGAATAACAGCTAGAACCAGTGCTTCTGCTGCCGAACTGCCATTCATTGTGTGAACTGCTCTCAGTGGTTTCAATGTGAATTCATTTTATTTGGCCTGTGTAGATATGGGGTTAGTTTACAAGTATGGTGGAAGACAGTATCTCACTGCTAGTTATGATGTAAAGTCCATTGGCCAGTCCAGTTGGCTTGTTCTGCCGGTAATGGTAGGAGGTATGTCTTGTCTATCACCTTGGGCAGGTAAATGCTTATCCCTTGAAGTAGTTCACACAACTATAGCAAATATGTAAAGACCTCCTCCTATTTGGTGCTGGAATCACCATGCATCATGGTGAATCTAGCAGTGCCCAGCAGGAAGCATGTGTAACCCAGTCCCGCATGCTCCATATTGCCTGGCTTTCCCTTTACCTCATCCCATGGCAGAAATTGTCTGCCACCCGGCTTCCCCCATGGATCTGTATGCAACATGGAAAACTCCCCATATTGCTGCCACTTTGGCATATGCCAGTTCCCCTTCTCTTTTACTAAGGAGTCACACTGGAAGTAGCTGTGCATGGTGGGATGGGAGCCAGCAGGCTCCATGGCAAAAAGAAAGGAGAACCGACATTACCGCTGAATTCAACCCCATTTGATGAGGTTGTAATTTGAATGCATCTGGACCGCCTATGGCACATAGTGAAGTGGTTTGCACCTACTGCATCATTGCAGAACTGCTAAAAGTGCTGCAAATAAGGTCAGCTTAAAACATTTTGTTGCCTGAGGCAGAACAGTACATGTTAACCTCCCATCCCTACCCCCATTCAGGCACATAGTAGCTAAAAGCCATCCAGGTTATTTTTAGAAAATGAGTGAGAATCCCACAAAGCTTCTCTCCTTTCCCTGGCAGTAAAACTGTAATAACATATTAAATGACTAATAATTTGCTGCCCTTTCATGATGTTCCCAGTCTCTTGCCTGAGGCAGCTGCCTCATCCCACCTAATGGTACAGGCTGCCTTGGCTGCATACATTGTTGTTGCTGTGATGTAGTGAAGCTGTAACAAAACTGCATGCCCACCTTGCAATGTCACAATGACATTGCGAAAGGTACTGTGTTCATGATGGGGGCAAAGTGATGTGCAGTTAAAAGTACCACTCCATCTTGATCAGTTAGTGAAAATGAATTGGCATCTCCTCTCCTGGCATATACTGTATAAACATATCATTTTGCAATGCATGTAAAAGTGAAAGCAATTGGTTTAACTTGCAGTGCATTGACCGTTTACTTCAAAACATACATTTATTGCCAACTATATACCAGGCACCAGATCCAGTCTGATATTGGAAGCTAAGTAGAGTCAGCTCTGGTCAGCAGTTGGATGGCAGACTACCAATGAATGCCAGGAGCTATAGCCTATATTTGAGAGGTTGGAATTGGCAAAATCATATCTGAGTATGGTAAAACCTATGAAATTCTTGGGATCATCGTAAGCTGATAGGTTGTTTGAAGGCATAGACACACGCACACAGAGCAGGTGATGTACAGCACAATCAGCAGGTGTTTTAAAAAGCAGCCCCAAAAATGTGTTTGTTCTTTCATTCACTTATTTTGTTTCCTTAGAGAATTTATGAATGACCCTTAAGCAGAACGGTTTCCAGGTTGATAGACCACTTGTGTTCTCAGAATATCTGAAAATGGGGACAAAATTAATAGATACCCCCCTAGTGTGAGACAGGGAGAGGGAAAGGGACA